AGGAGAGACAAAAAAGTACATAAGAAAATTTTTTTTTTTTTGAAGAGTATCGACAATGTTTTTTGTTAAAGATAAAAAATTTTTTGATGATATAACACACAGAAATGCACATACAAACACAAACGGATACAAGTAGAAAACAGTATAATAATTGCTTAACAAACAACAACAATGTTTATGAAAGAAGAAGAAGATGGCAGAAGAAGTGTTGCTGTTGTGTGCTGTTAGTTGGGCTGATTTGCCTGCCTGGTCGGTTGGGTGCTGCTGCTGGTATCTGTCTGTTGCTTAGGCTTAACAACAGATCAATTAATGTTGGCAACAATGTATCAGAATTTGTCTCCTTTCATATAACATCTTAGCGTTTTTCACAGAAACGGTTTTTGTGTCAAGTTCAATGAATTAAAAGACATATGTAAATATTATCAACACTATACATAAATGTGTGCCCAAATTTATGTACATTTTTTTTTCCTACTATATTTCAAATTTATTCATTCTATGACAATTCTTTCGTCTATATTCATTTTTTACCTCACATTTTCACATTTTCCTTTCCCCGCCATTTAGTTTAACAAATAAATGACAATAATAAAAAAATAATAATAGTAAAAAAAATAAGCTCTGGTAATAATAACAACAACAAAAGTGATCACAATTATTATACTATAAATGGCGACAAGAATAACAGTAACCATAGCAATAATAATAATAATATTAATAATAATAATAATAATAATATAATAAAACTGAAAGTAGTAAGTGTAATGGTAGCAAAAGTGGAAATAGTAATAGTAATGGTAAAATAATGAATCAATAAGAACGGAGCAAGAAAAGAAGAAAATAAAATTACCAAAAAGGCATATTGGTATTTTTTTGTCCAGTTTTTTCCCGTCTCGTTTCTTCTACATACTTCATAATGAATTATACTAGCAGAAGAAAGAAAGGTTAATATGTGCAGAAATTGCACAATAACAAAACCATCGTTATTATTCGGTTTTTCAGTTAGCAAATATCCCGCCAGCAACAATAAAACTTGTGTTTTTTTTTCCTCTTCAATTTAAACAGTACTATTGCCTAATCATTATCATTATTTTTTTTTTTGTATCAAACGAAATGAAGTAGTGTCATACAGGAAAAAAACTTTTCAATGCCAAAACTCTAATACACTTAATAGTAACTGAGCTTAACTAAATTGCTAGCCGGAAAATTTTTGCACTAAGTCTATTGTATCCGTTTTACCGACGTTCATTAAAAGTTACAACAACACTCGACATTAAGCAGGAAAACGAGCAGAAAGAACCTCTAAACCACTAACACTGTAGTCACTTTGTTTTTTCGCTAGCTGTTATATAGCATACTGCTAAATAAGTAATTCTATAGCAAGTTTTAATGATTAATTTTCATATAATTAGTTCCTTTTTCTTTTAAGCCACAAATTTAGCTTAAATTTTAAGCTTTTAAAAAAGCATTTACTGCTTTGTAATCAGTTACCTATTTAAAACAAGAAAGAAATTAAAAACGAGTTGTATTTAAATTCTGGAAATCACATTTCCTTTATCCAGCATGTTTTCCACTCGACTGGTTCAGACACCTTAGTTATAATCAATTGTTAGATTTACATTGTTGTCAAGAAAAATAGAACAGCCACAGCTAAGAACAGACAATCAATTTGGCCTATAACAAATAAATTGTTCAGCTGTTTTGATGAGAACCAATTCAATAAAATTACGAATAAGTGTAATCAATAAACAGCTACAGTTTACTTAACAACTTATCAAAAATTTTAGAGAATGGAAAATAGAACCATCTGATGACAAACATACGATTTATAGATAGCAAAAAAAGAACCAGCAAACACCAGATTCTTAAAGCTGGGATACAAATATATCTTAGAAAAGCAAAAAAATGCTCACTTCAATTCAATCAAATTACAGGTAAATGAAAGCTCAATACAAAACTGAAAAAAAACACTCTTGAAATTTCATCGTTCAGTCGTCATGAAAAACGAAAAAAAACAAAAAAAAAAAGTTCTAAAAAGGAAAAAATTGACGAAATTGATCCTTGTAAAAGTTTGTATATACACAGCTAACAACTGTTTACCCATCCGGTAAAATGCTAACCATCCCAGTGCATTTATAAAAATAGAAGAATACAGCGTAAGCCGTTACCTTAAAGCTTAAAACCAGTTAAGAGTGCACTAAAATGACTGTGAAATAACAGAAAAAAATGAAAAATATTTACGGCTTAACAACGTTTTATAGCTCTTCAACAAAAGATGATTCTAATCTCGACTTCAAGAACGTTAGAAGTGTAGGTTTTTTTTTCTGTGTTTAACTTGTTGGCTAATAAAACAATTTTACCTCAACCCTTCCAAACAGTTAACGACAATCTCAAATAAAAACTGAAAAACAGCGGCTTGGACAAACAAGCAGAAAAAAACCCATCATTTTGGCATTACCCTTGGAGCTTTTCCGTTCAATTAAACTTCTGACGCTAACAACTTACAAAACACTTCACCAATAAGGATTCCGCTATTCATCACCAAGTACACCTGTGTTATCCTACCAAACAAATGCTACAGATATTCATTATTACGAGCAACCTCCTAACACTTTATTAAAGTCCTACTGAAGTGGCCCTAAGACTGTTTAGAACAATAGCAATAAGTTTTTGCTGTTTTACAGCGTAATTACTTTTTGAGCAAATAGTAACAGAAAGCGAATAAAAGAAAACTAATGTTTTAGACCTACTGAATAGTTATCAGATTCAAATAAACTTAATTGCTGGTCGATTATTGTCTGTTGTAAACTTTTTTCTCTTCCTTTCAAAACTGTTTTTCATACAGCACCAGCATTTTTCTCACCTTGAAATAAATTAATAAACCGAAAATACGCCAATTATTTCGACTGATGAGACATATGATTTCGTATTGAGAACTTTGAGCAAAAAGAATTTTGCAAAAACAAGATTTTTTCTGCTAAACTAATAACAATAGAAGCCTTGAGGTTACCTTAAAAAATTTCTACTCGTCTTGTTTAAGTATCTTAGACTGTAAGCAAAAATTGAAAAAACAACTTTCTAACATACGTACTAAAGCTACGACAGTCCTTTTCAAATAAAACAACAGCGAAAACGAGAAGCCATTAACACTAGATTTAGATACAGAGTGAAGTGCAACGATCTTAAAAGTCAAGCAGTTACTGATATTTTGGCAACATATAGTGTTATTAAAACTAGAATATCTACAGTCCACTTTATTATTTAATTAAGCAGTTAACTAGTGAAATTATGTTGCAATTATTGTCATTTTTAAACAATAGAATTTATTTAGATATAATCCTTCCACTTTTTTTTTTTTTTTTTTTGGTCATTAAACGTTCTCAAATTGAGTGTAATAGCCGAAAATAATTTTATTTTTGATACCAAACACTTTTGTTTATAACTATCATCGTAACACCAACAAGTGAAGGTCACTAATATTTTTTCAAACAGTGACAGTACTAAAATTATAATATCAAAAAACCATCAACTCCTACTGTTCTTCAGTACAGTCTTCGCAAGGAAAATGGGAGAGTAAACGTGTGAAAAAAATAACGCGGGCCAAAAAGAAAGCAGTTTTGTTTTTGTTTCGGAAAATTTACAGCAATCTAAATTCGATCACTGTCATACAATAACTTACAAATGAAAAAAAAAAAAGATGCAGTTAACCATAAATCTTAAGGCAATATAATTTTCAGAAAAATTAAACTTACAGAATGAGTTCAATGTCAGCAAACACTCTAACACTTTTGTCTTTTAAAAACCAAAAGAAACAAAAGAAAATTTGTACAA